GACTCCCAATAGGTACCAGCTTTCATAATATTCCACCGTTCATAAGCAAAATATCATCGGATTAAGCAGACTAGCGCAGAGGCGAACATATACAACATAGTATTAGTGCTAACTACCTTACATACAGACCACTCGAACCACAACGACAGTCAACCAGACACAATTGCAACCACTGCCTACGCAGGGACACAGTCACAGCTCCTCAAAGAAGGGCAGCACCAGCAAGCAGACCCGCAACAGCACCGAACCCAGCGTTCAAGCTCGAGGCCGCACCGGTGAAGATGGGCGGGGAGGTGGCGGAGGCAGTCTCAGTTCCGCTGGACTCGCTGGGAGGGACAACCGCGCTGCTCGACGAGGAGGGAGTCTCGCTCGGGGACGGCACGGCGGTGGTGGTGGGAATGACCGGGCGAGAGGTGGTAGTGGTGGTGGTGGTCGACGGAGGCAGCGTGTTGGTCAGGGTGTTGGTGAGGGTGTTGGTCATGGTATCGGTCAGGGTGACGGTGTCGGTGTTGGTGCCACCAGGTCCGATACAGGTCTCGCCGTTGGGGCAGCAGCCGCCGGCGGCATCGCAGTAGGTGCCGGGCTCGCAGCCACCGCCGCCGATGCAGCAGGTGTACCCCGCGGGGATGCAGCCCGTACCACCGGGGCAGTATTCGCCGCCGATGGCGCTGCAGTCGGTGGACTGGCGGGCGATGAGGGCCGGGTAGTTGGCGGCCAGGGCCGTGGAGGCCAGGAGGGCGAGGTTGAGCATGTACATTTTGATGTAAATGGTATGGAGTGTATGCAAGAGATAGTACAGATGGCACTAGCTTTTGTTTATAGGTAATTGAAACGAGCGTGGGTTGACAACAAAGACAGAGGATGTAGGAGGTCCGCCCACTCCAGTTGGTTCTTATATACGGTAGTCAGTCCCCCAAAGTATGATTCCTAGAGCCGCAATGAATACGAGGTTCAATCAAATGGATCCTGGGAGGCGCAGGGCTCCGTGTCGCTAGGGTAAATGAGGCATCGTGGTTGGATGTCAACCCCAGACCAAGGCTGGAGGAGATTGCCAGAATACGAGGCGAGTCTGGCTGGCGACGTGTTAGTGGTCCCCAAGAGAGCCCAGGAGAATAGCAAAGGGGTCAGAACGCCATTCTCCTGCCAAGAGAGTTTGATGGGGTGAGACATGCGGGATAGATGGATCATTCATGGATGTTTTCGTGGGAGAAGATGCCTATTGATATGGTTCGGTTGTTCAACAGTACTGGCGATGATATCCGCAGGGGACTCTCCATACTAGCGATGCAGACTATTACTTAACTGAATTTGTCGTTAGTGTCTCTATTATTAGCTCCATGTAATCTCGGAAAATTGTCCGTCTGGTGATTCTCCCCGCGCTGTCCTCATGTCATGTAGTGAAGAGTGGGTGGAGGTTGATATATATATTCGGCACTGGAACACCACATCCTCTCTATAGCCCTCTATGAGTAGACCACGCAAGGTCAAGGTAACATCTAGTGGGTTCTGTACGGGAAACAGTGACTAGCTAACTACCAACTACTAACTTAGTCTTACTGCTGGCTGTGCAAGGAGTCCACAATGCAGGTTCATGGCTGGGATGTTTCCGGGGAGACTGGTCAAGGGATGGCTGGATAATGTAGAATTGAAGCAATTGAAGAGCCAAAGAGATCAAAAATATTCTATTTCTCATATTTTATATATGGTATTCCTCTATTATTTGTAGTTCCAACAGGTCCTGTGCGAGACATGGTTGACTTAGTATAGAGGAGTCCTGATCTACAGAGTACACTAGAGACCCATGACAACGAACGATCTACACGTGGACCGTATCGATAAAAACAATCAGCAAGGAATCATTATCATTGTCTTTGTTCCGAAGAAATCAACTGCATGTCCTGCCATCTTTTATTCCTTCTTTCCAGTCTTCCAATTCCCAACCGGACACTTCATTCTATTTAACCGACCGAGCGTCTGCTGCGACACGGATCCATTACCGCCAACACCCTTTCATTTCCGTCGTTACATTCACTCCTCAACACCAAAACCACCACCACCTCCTCCTCCTCCACTATCTCTCATGTCACCATAACAACATGTCGACCACCACCACCTCTACCTACGCCTCAACCACCCTGGTCGGCATGCTTCCCACCATCACCAATGCCACCGCCCTGGTGGCCGGGAAGAGCTGCCCGACTTGCGGTCAAGATGGCCTCCTGTCGCAACATCACTCCGAGGAAGCCCAACGCCGCATCCACGAGTTAGAAGGACAGCTGCAACATCTCAACCTCCAGACGGCACACATGAGTATGAATCCCTCCTTCTGTCATTTTTATTCAACCTCCCGCTAACCGGTCAGCCGAAAAACTCGCCCTCTACGAAGAAGAGATCCACCGACTCCGCGTTCAGGCCCGATCCTCTGCAGCCTCCTCGTCCTCCTCCGCCGCCGCCGACGCTGACCGCTCCCTCTCACCAACACAACTCCCGCCCCCGTCCTCGTCCCATTCGCAGTCGCACTCTCAGGGCCAGGGCCGTCTGTCCACCCTCACCTCCTTGCTTCCCTCCCGGCGTCCCAGCACCGCCACTGCCACCACCTCTTCCCCGCCGCAATCCAGCGCCCACCCCGTCGCTCGGCCCTCCCCACCGCCACAGCCCGCCCACGAAGACACGGTCGAGCTGCAAAACGCCCTCAGTCGCGAACAGAACCTGCGCCGCGCCGCCGAATCGCAGCTCTCCCAGACCACCACCGAGCTGGAGGAGCTGACGGCCCAGCTGTTCAGCCAGGCCAACGAGATGGTGGCCCAGGAGCGCAAGGCGCGCGCCCGCCTGGAGGAACGGGTCGCCCTGTTGGAGCGTTGCGATGTCGAGAAAGTGGAACAGACTCGAGTGGATGGAAATTGTTATGTTTTTGTGTTGAGCGTGTGCCGGAACTCCCCCAATGGTGGCATCTCGGGAATATAAGATAAAATAAAAAGACACACACTTTGGTGTTTGTGTTGAATGGTCTTTAAAAATTAACTTAGGGAGTAGAACTGGTTAGTATATATTATTAATATATATTTATATTAATGTTTTTTTTTTTTTTTATTTTTTTTTTTTTTTTTTTTTTTTTTTTTTTTGTTTTTTTTTTTTATTTTTATTTATTTTTTAATGATTTTTTTTTTTTTTTTTTTTTATTTTT